AATCTCACTTTGTTGGCACTCACGCAAGCATTCTTTTGTAAGCCATGGATGCCGAATTTGGTGCCGGACAAGGAATCATATTGACCAGAGTTTCAGCCTCATGTAAATATTTCTGAGGGGCTTTTCCTTACTTGTAAATTACAACACACCAAGGGTGGACGAATGCCAAGGCGCTTGGGATATGTGGTGATATTTGTGTGAATTGACTGCAATGAGTAGTGAGAAATAGTGTTCTGCCTCGTTCAGAGGAGCTAAACACGACCAAATCGAGTGTTGAATGAATCCATCCAACGGTATTAGTCAAAAAATCAACTGCTTCAGAGAACGTAGGTGTTACTTCTAGGAGTAACAATCTGCGCAGAAGCGTCCGGTACGTATCAGGCCAAGAAAACTTGGATTTGGGTATTCCAGTTCTACCGACGGAAATGCCTCCAAGGAAAAAGAGTGGCTGAAATGCAGGTTGTCCATTTGGGATACTTAGAATTAGTGAATGCTGTATTGTTGGTCAAACAGACAATGGGCCTCAGATGACGATGTCATGCTGGCGTAGGTGCCCTTGGCAGCCATCCACAAATCTGCACTTGTGCTTCCAACCATGGCACTGGGCTTGGGATGCTTACTGGTATCGTAACCACCGCGGGTCACGAGAACTGTAGACGTTCCGCAACTGATACCTTGAGATCCACCGCCCATGCATCATATACGCTTCCATGTGCATTCGTTGTCATTCAACCCACTGGTTTTATTGTAGGTAGACAAATGTCACATTCACAATTTTCAAACACAGTGAAGATATACATGTTTGATTCCCATATATTTGTGTCCCTGTGCAAGTACAGAAAAGTGCTCCTCCGTTAACGGGGCAAATGTTCTACAATCTGGCCTTTGATCCTGAACGTGTTCCCCATTTTATACTGACTTTTTCCCGGAATAACCATGAGATAAGTGCGACAACATAGAAACGGCATTTCTTGGTTTAGTCTTTCGAGGGTTTTACCAGTTTGTGTCAAACCTGAATAGAGACCAATGTAACAAACGTCACAGCGGACTGAATAACATATTTGCGGTGGTCCGTGGATTAACTTAGCTGCAGTTTGTCTGTCGTAGGGAAGGCACGCTAAAGTTCATACGGTCGGGTTTTTCCATTTCACTGGATCATCAGAATTGGTTCTGGTCCACCACTGGTCCCAGAATTTGTGTGTACAGTGAATAAACAAGCACGTCATCTATTGACTCATTCTGTTTTGACTACTCATGAGTCGCCAAGGGCGGTGCTATATACCGCGCCAGCTCGACTTCTTTTGCATCCCAACTTTTATATAACCTCTTATTTGATGAAGGCACGCGAAAGTTCATACGGTCGGGTTTTTCCATTTCACTGGATCATCAGAATTGGTTCTGGTCCACCACTGGTCCCAGAATTTGTGTGTACAGTGAATAAACAAGCACGTCATCTATTGACTCATTCTGTTTTGACTACTCATGAGTCGCCAAGGGCGGTGCTATATACCGCGCCAGCTCGACTTCTTTTGCATCCCAACTTTTATATAACCTCTTATTTGATCTTACCTGACGGTGCCTGCTGGTAATTGTTTTAAATGGTGGTGAGCGCGCACTTCCACTTGACACGTAGCACGCGCTACTTTCTCACAATTACAGCCATAACCTGCAGACGTATTTAATTTGAGCCAAATTGCCCCCACACATGTTTTCCGGACGGTTTTCGCTTCCTTTTGATATAACACTGCCTTCACAACGTACTGACAGTTCACTGCGCCATTATCTCTATATACTGTCTATTTACACTGTCTGACTACTTGATCTGTACAGCTGGCACTTGGTCCATTTTGCCTCCAGAAATCCCTTTTCTGCTCTTGACGATTGTTGAGTGTATTTTCCATTTAATTCATGGTGTTTATTAACCCATTTTTCATAGGACCAAATGCCAATGCAATAACCAGTGGCGTCATTCATCTGTTCCTACTATCTGCCTCATTCGTATAGTTCCTAGCTCGAATCTTTCCGAAAAATCCATAGCCGCCTGGAGCTCACACCCTACATCAAAATGCAGCTTGCAAGCGCGAGTTGTATTTAAGTTGCGTTAATTATGTTGCACTAGTTTTACCCTCGTCAACCAGTTACCCGATACGGTTATATTTGACACCTCTCGGTTGATACTTTGGCACGAAAAGGGTTGGAGCTTGTCATCTTGAGTAAGATTTGTTGTCCCACGCCTGCTATTCATTTAATGCAACATCGATATTCCCTCTCTCGGAAAGAAATTGGTGAGCTCTAACATACTCTCTCGGACATTCAGTAGTGCTGTATTGCTAAACCTGTGGCAACTCTCGATACTTGGTGTTCCTCTCAACTTAATCAGTAGTATTGTGGACTTAGAACAATTCCAGTGGACGATATTAAAGGCAACTAACAAGGAGGAGAGGAAGCCTTCATTGGAGAGGAAATGGAGGGGATGAAAAAACTGCATCCGAGATAAAATTGTGCTGTCGCTAACCTTGATTAGTTGGTGGAGTCGTTAACGGTAGCTGGATTTGCGAGATACACAAACTTGCGGCGTAATTTGGTTTAACGAGAGAGACTCAATTCAATTTCTGCAAAATCCCTCATTTATGCTATTCTCCAACTGAATTTGCTGCACAAAGCCGCCTAGGATCCGTCTAGGCGGCCCAATTTGTAATACTACAATTATCTCCGTGCCTACTGGAGATGGTCGAATGGTGATAACTTATCTTTCTCTGACAGAACATATGGAGTGGTCTCAGACAACCCACGAACTATTTAATCCTTCTTGGAGCTTATCAAGTTGATATAGTTCCCTAATTTCTGTCAACGTCATTTCCTACTTGAACATAGATTGCACAGGCTGCAAGAAAAACTTTTATGTGCACAAAAATCTGGTTCTGAAACGAAACTAAATGGAATCCAGCTGATGACGGTTTTCTCCACCCAAGTGTGGTGACTCCTATATAAAACTTCATCTAATATTCTCCTCATCTGTTTAGATTTGGGTGCAACTGTTTACCAGCTTGACCAAGTAATTAAAAAGTGATCGGCCCACCATTTCGGATGTCTTTTTAACGTAGGGTTTCGTACTTGTTCGAATAAGCTTGATGCGAACCTCAAAGTCGCGCAGTCAACAATGTGGACAAACTGGACATAACGCAGTTCATAAAAACAATAATTTATTTGCCCAAGTTAAATTTTAACTAAATGATTCACGGTAATGGAAGACTTACTCACAGCAATTCCGAACTGTAATTCTGTAACAGTGAGATTTTCAGACAAACGTTTTTTGCACTTGCTGCGTACACTTTTTAGAAGGACAGCTCCGGTCTTGTTTACCTAATCCTCTAGATGGTGTCCTGTATTAGCACCGGCTCGGTTGCTGCTTTTTATTGTTGCCAACACCCGCATAACGCTTCAGTGTTGTGTCACACAGCACGTTCGCCTTTGTGTACCATATGACGATAGTTGAGGTCAGGCATTCGTGTTTGACTCATCTCGTATCCAGTGTAGCACGACCAGAGGGTGGTGTTGGAATATTTGTGAGTCAACTTAGTGCACAAAACTACACATTCTGAGACTCTACACAGTAAATGAATCATCAGCCAGCCATAAACTCCAAAGTAACTGGTCCATCGTCACGTTGGACTCTACATTTAGGCACAACCAAGATTGTCAGATATCTACTTACTATTCTCTATATTGCATCGTATATTGCAACATAAGTACAAACTAGGCATTTAGCTGGGAACAGTCATGCCAGTACCGATTTGTACATCCAAATGACAAATATATATTTTACACGGTTTGATACTACGATAACTTTAAAATGGAGAGAAGAGGAAAACTCGTGCCGCTGCAACTTGTTTGACAATGAATAAAAATCCCATGCCAGAAGTAAAAATGTGTGCATATTGTTTTGAAAATTTTTAAAGCCCCCCCCCCAAATAGAACTGTGCGCCGTAGAAAGTAGTGTTTTGTTTTTGTAATACACATGTGATTTACTCTTTGTAGATTCAACCATCAGCTGATGAGGAAATTGTAAACTTTCAAAGAAATCTGGAAATCTCCGGAGTTCCCGGCTATTTGAGTGGTTTGCCAGTGAGGTGGATGCTGAAAGCTCACTCATTATAGATGGTCATTGGTCCATCAAACTATGTTGTACTATGCGTGATCAACTCAGTGCTATCCAATATATGAAATGGAAGGTGCGCTGTTTGCTACTGACATGAACGGCATGGATTAAGTCATGTTTCGCCGTTGCGTATAGCGTTTACGTTGGCCAGACCATATTTAACCCTGTACTGATGTGGTCTTTGTCAAGACGCAAACCACTGGAACGAAAGCGTATCGTTAAAGCGCCAAACGTGTCGCATGCTTAAAAGCTTAAATTCCTTGATCAACAATCTACTTGACGAAGTAACCGGTATGCTATAAATCATGACAACAATGTGCGCGGCGCAAGCACAGAGCTCTACAGAATCACCAGACTAGAATAGGATCTGCATTTGCCATCAAAGAATCAGTTCCATCAACTGACGAACAGTCAGGATGTGATAGACGCTGTGACAGGTTCATCCGACTATTACGCAAAAGGTTTAGGAGTACTGAAGTTCCGGATCAACCATTGTATGGCACAAAACAAAGATGAGCGCAATGTATCTCTTGGAACTCAGGAGAGAAAACGCATCGAGGGACAAACCTGATAAGAAGCTTTACTTACTGACCATTTAGAGGAGGAAAGTCTTCAAAATGGTGACTTTACATGGTCGCGGGGGGACAATTTAGGGGAGATGAATGCAACAAAACACACTATGTCCTCGAGACATCCCCGTCAACCTGGCTGCAATCTCGCAACATTGAGGTTATTCTTTTCAACTAAGCGCAGTTCAAAGGGGAGTTCGAAAGAGATTCGAGCCGCGTGATTGCAAACTGGCTAGGTATCGAGCGAGGTATAGATAATAACCTAAAGCATTCTAATGTTTCTTCAGTCTGCTTGAAAAATATCGCAAAAATTTTCCGTAAAGCACCCTTTTCTTGGTAATTTCGATCTTCTGAATTTCATTTTTCTCATATTTGTGCGGATACTTTTGCACATCTACTAGCCTGGGCTCATCAGGGTCATATTTTCTGGGAGTATTGGTTTCTGGTTCCTTCCCAATTGGTAAATTCACCAGTTTTTCAGAACCAGATATTTTGTCAGTACCTCCCAGATTGTAGCCTTTTGCAGAGCTGCTCTCTGCTGGTTCTGTAGTTGTCACCTGACTGCTTACTGAGTTCTCTGGTTGCAATATTGTAGTTTGAAGCGCAGGAGCACCGGTCTGAAATATCGCGGTTTTAACTGTAAAATCTGCACTTGCCCTCATGCGCTTGGTTCCGTCACAAATATATTTGCAGTCATTTTCATCCTCCTCTGCTTTTTGGCCAGCCTCATGCCATTCCGCATCTCGATCAACTTCCACGTCATAATCATATTCTTGAGGGTTAATCTTCTTTGGCACTTTTTTAGTTGTGTCAGTGTCCACTACCCGAGGGATGGGTAGCAAGCCTAATTCACTTTTTCTCGTCAGAGATAAAGTTGGATTGCCAGTGCGTGGTCTGAGGAACACATTTTCATCTTGTCTCGTGTCTTGACTTTTTTCTAGAGCGGTTTTGGTGCGACTAGAAGTTTGAAATGTTTTGCTCCACTGTGCTTTCTTCAAATTCCTTGGTTTTCTACCTCTTGGTGGACGAAAGGTTGTTGAAGTCACCAAATTAACGTTTGGAGATATTTTTTGGGATCGCCGGTTAAGATTCACCAAACGATATGATTTGGCGTCAATGGAATTGGTCCACAAGTGTGTTAATGGCTTGAATGAACTCTCATCAAGGTTAGTTCCACCATTTTCAGGTGTGGAGGAGATAGCTGTCAAGTTTCCGGTCTTGATCAGGCTAGTTGTCAACTTTGAGATGCTGTTAGTAGTAATGTTATCTGCTTTCGTTGTCCCCGTGTATGTGACCGAGTACCGTGGCAGGGCAGTTATCGGGATCATTGGTGTCGCCTGTTCACTGGTCAAATCTCTCACTACGTTTGCAGTTAGCTCCATAGACGATGCCGTGTTATTGAGGGTTTTCTCGTGGCCGGGTGACGTGAAGATAGTTGCGGATTTTGTTACTACAAGCTGCCGACTTTGTTTAAGTTTACCACTCTCTTCAGGGAGCGAATTTGATTGAATATCGTTTTCAACCGCATTGGTGTAGACTGTGTTTGGATAGTGCGTCGTAGTTCCATTCTCAAATAATACACCAACGTCTAGCAATAAAGGGGATCTTATTGGCCGGGATATTGTTGTCTCTTTTTCAACGGAGTCCTTATAACTCTTCAGGTTTTCTCGTACATCTTTCGGACCATCCAGCATTTTACCGTTATCAGGTTGTGTGATTTTAGGTTCGAACATGTCTGCGAATGCCCCAGTTGCATCTGTATTTCGAAAACAGAGGAGAAAGGTTATTACTTTCATGAAAAATGACTCACTATTACCAATGGATATTGATAACAAAGTATACTATTTTGTGCGCATATCAACTGCCAACAAAGGTATGTTCAAACAGCTACGAGTCCCTTTGTGTTTGTTTCATATGAACTTGATGGCTCTGCGAAACGCCCAAATCTTAGGGTGGCGCCATGATATAGTCTGCAAATGATGTTTGAATACAGTTGTATGTAATTTCATGATTTCTGCAGATTTCAGAGAAACGCCGTTTGAACATGTATGAAGCGCCGATTGACAGACGCAGTTGGTTAAGTAACCAAGTAAGCAATCACATCGCCCAAGGCTCCAACATTTTGAAAGATAGTGAAAGGAATCGTAATGATTTAAATTAGACGATAAGCAACGTTACGCTGCACTAGGCAGCCTATTTAATTTTTAGACATCGTCACAACATGCCTAACATTACATCCACGAGACTAACCAACATTCACTCATTTGCAAACTGATTTGGTTTTTCGAGAGACTCACCTTGAACCCAGCTGAATCTCTCGCTTGTGATGTTTCCAGGCATTACGAAACTATATATGTATCGCAATCTTAGCGACCGAAACATGAGGCGGCCTGGTGCAGCACATTCAGTTACGTGGAAACGTCTCAGACGAGAGATTCAGCTGGGTTCCAGGTGAGTCTCGAAAAGCCAAATTAGTTTGCAAACGAGTGTGTATTTGCTAATTTCGTGCAATTTGGTTTCAAGTAAAACATGCGGTTGACGGAAACTCGGGGAATGTGCCCACCTGATGAGCCCCAAGTTGGGCGCAACTGGTCGTGGGTCATCGAGGATTTTTCAGTGACCTAATGCGTAGCGCATTACAAAATTTTACAATATTGCATAGACAGGAGAATTCAAGATGCAGAGGTCGGATTCGAACGACAGACCTTCCGATCAGTAGATTCGCGCTCTTCCTACTTGAGACATCTCAACACCAGTTGGGCAGTGTGCACTCTCAGGTGTATGGTACTCTCTCTTAATGCGAGAAAATCTGTTATCCCCACTCACCGTGCGATAGGATATTACGAACAGTCGACTGAAGTTAACTTCTATTAACTTGTTCACAATTTCAAAGTGCATTCATGTGTTCACTTGTGTAATCGTTTCCCCAGGCGATCAAACTGACTGTGTTGCAAGGATCACAGTGAGAGAAGAGACTAGCAGACAAGTGAGAGTGCGCTTCGTCCAATGCAAGAGACGGACTCGTTTCCATCTGGAAACGAAGCTTGGTAAGAAGCAAGTGAGGTGTCAGTACTCTGAACATTCTAGCGAAGAATTTTATACAGCCTTGGGTTATTAGGCCTAGCAGTTCGGACACATGCCACACAGTGCTGTGCAGGATCTTGGACGACTCCAATTCCACTTGGGTGGTTCCATCGAAATGATGGTCCGCTCATTTTAGTTCCCACATCGACAAGTAAACGGGGTCAATAACGCAAGAAGGTTCTGAAAGGTACAATCCACTTGTGAGCCGCACCAGACAGACAGCAATCGTGAAAGGAAAGGACTCTCCTTACACATCAGCCATAGGAAACAAATGAGCTTTAGATGAACTCCACATCAAGAGATCCTTCAAATGGTCTCACCACCACCACATATACTGTCACAGTAAGGAAAGGTATTCTTGTTTATTGGTGTAGACTTACGTTTTATTGGGGCCGCCAGCACTGCACTACTCATGGTTAGCATCAGTAGGATTGTTCTACACATGAACATTGTCTCACCAGTTTCATCTGGAAAATGTGGGAGAGATTCAAATCATTTTAGACAAAACAAAGGTGAAGAAAGGTGCATATTAAATCAGGCGGTCTTATGCCAGAAAAAAATAGGTGAAGTTGTAATATCCTGGCTTGCTTTCGGTCGGTGTTGGCACGCAATGTTTGCTTAAAGGAAAGCCAAAGATTTTTCGGGCACAGTTTGGTGGGACAAAAGCTGCCAAACAATTTGACAGTGATGGTGACCTACTGTGCCGCTCCTCACAGACCCTGATTAAGCGCACGGGCGTAACCGAAGCACTTGGTCAGTGTGATTCATGCAATAGTATGTTCAAAACTTAAATGTCTAGCAGCTTCGACTACGACTGTGTGTCTAAGATCGAATGACAAAACATCAGCGACCACTTAGGTCCACCTGTGACAGTAGTCTTATCACCGGACGGATACACGGTTTACGAAAGTGTAAGAGGTAAGACCAGTGAGCCTTCATGCAAGATTTGTTATTGATAAAGTGAAAGAATGTAATATACTCTGCATTCGGGTGTCAGTCAATGTAAAGTCTACATTCCGACAGATTGAACATGTGACTCCAGTTGCATAGTCATCTCTTCTGCTATGACCCAAACAACCTGAGTATTCGGTGTGGATTGTTATAGTCGAATATCGAACGATAAACTAAACGATTAATTTATCCTGATGCCATATGAATTTCTTGATAAGACTATTCCCTAATATTTCTAGCTGCAGCGCTTGACGGTTTCCATGAACGGAAAGCGATGCCTTAACAGAATCTGCCATGGTTGTTCTACGTAACGGACTGGTTTAACTGCTATCTTCAAAAGCATGGTACCAGCGATTTTAGACATATGCGGATCCGTTTCATTTTATTTGGGTGTTCCCGTGATCCATACTAGTTTCTATTGGTGATGCCTGGATTGGCCTCTCGATGGAAACCTCCATCATATTATGAAGGAGACAACTCCAGGTTGCGTTTTTACCGTTCAGCGCATCTGCATCTAAAAATGCTCAATCTGGCTGCGCATACTAAGAATAAAGAAAACCACCTAGGAACGGTTCTGATACATTGATGTTATGCTACCAGGACAGCTTCAAAAATCTATGAAGCATAGCACCTGTCTGATCAGCCATAGGCTAGTGGCGTGCGTCCAAACCAAGAACTATTTTCCCACTGTGTACCAGCCTAATCGAGTTTTTTGTTCGTACATAGGAGTACCAGCTCCTAGCGTGCGGATTTCCTAAATCAGCATGGAAAATAACCCTGCTCAGTTATCCCGAGCCGCGTGTTCTTCATTCAAGAGGGTTTATCTTCATAAATCAACTGAACTGGCAGTTAAACCCTCGGCGAGATCGAATAGAACAGGCAAATTTTGAGTTTGGGATTGTGACCAGTGTTCACTGTATATTATATAGGCGCATGAACCCCCGACTCCTCATTGAAGTCTTTTGCTTGTTCCTGAGCGTCTTTGATTTGCTGATTCGTGTCACCGAATGTCCTGTAGTTGGCTGTTTGCATCATATGGGCTTCTGTTAACCTGTTTTTGACTAACGAGCTGACAGGTCTGTTCATGAGTTCTCTTCACAATAATTCAACAACAGAATGGACCGTTGTGGCAAAAGCCTCTTGCCAAGGAGGATAATAACTTTGTGCCTCACCATACACGACCAAATCCACTCTATAGGTGGTTCTCTACATCCACGAAAGCGAATCCCAAGTTTTTCGGAAAGGTTCATCCGACCAGATTCACTGAAAAAATGGAGCCTTTAGATCACGTTTGGTTTCATTGGGTGAACATAAATCAGTACCAACCGCCAACGAGTTGTGTTGTAGAGAGCTCTTTTAAATCCCATGATCAATTTAATCTTTCTTGGGACTTGTCACCTGGGGGTCAGCAACCTTGTATTCTCCTTGGACAAGTTAATTTGGTGGCATCAGGAGGCTCAAGTGGTTTTCACCGAATATCCTTCTCTCGCCTTCAACACAAAGTGCTACACTGAGACCATTTAATGTTTCAGCAAGCTTGGGAGTAGTGTGTTCCATCAAGCAAATATACTACGATTTGTCAAAAAATGTAACAACTGAAACACACGGCAGTCCATTCCGTGCCGAATAAGTATCCAAAAAGATTTTTTTGTGCAGTGAGCGATCTGCTCCATCAGATTCTAGCTTTTAAGATACTTCAAGAAGTTGGGACTTTTAGTCACACCTCTAACTTGCGTACGCCAACAGTTCGTTGATAAACTACCAAAGAGAAACGTTATTTCCCATGCGCCACATTTGGTTGCGATGAACCATAATGCACATACGTAATAGCTAAATCAACGAGATCACCCCAGTGCGTAATCTTGATTCACAAACGGGTGGTTTATTGGCAACCATTCTTGGGCTGTATCACCGAGTGAATGGTTAACTTTGAGCAGTCTGATTAAAGCGGAAAAAGCTTGAAGTATCAGCACGACGTGTCTTACAAGTGAATGTGAACCTTTTCGTTATGCGTTCAAATTGATACCCAGTTTCCTAACGATACATATTGTAAAAAATAAGATACTTGTAGTAGAAAATGAAAAACTCACAATTAGGCAACACAGACGAGGGAAGCCGCAAGAATTTTCACGCTCTGCTTTTCTAAATAAAACTTCTTAGGTCACCGAATACTCTCAGTTGCACGTTAAGATGGTCATGGGAGACTCTATAGAATCCAGTTAGATCTTTCGTTTATGCTGGCATACGTCGTTTATGCTGAACCTTTGATCACAGACCCTCAAATGCGGCCGATCAGCCTAGAATGGTTCATCTTCAAGGGAATGCTACTCAGCAGCCGAATATCGCCAAAGGTGCTCAAACCGTTCTGCAGACAAATCCTGCTTGGTCACGCTTTGGTATAAACTGATACTCTTCCACCCTCCGATGGGTTATCAAAGCAGCTCTCTAAATACAAGCGAAATTTTCAAGAGTCCACACTTGTACAACAACTTGTCGCTTCGAACTGGTTTCACGCCAGCCTGGTCATGCACTTTGTTGACGGATATGTTTGGGAACTGGAAACGAACCTTCTTGGATTACTTCCTGCTGGAATAATTGCAACTTTTTTTGACCGCTGGGTTACCACAAAAATTGTGTTCATGGCTATCATGTTGATGTTGTTGTCTTATTAAATCCGAGAAAGTCAACCAAATCATCT